AATTTTTTATGCATCTAAGATTTTACAATACTTTATTACAAAAATCAAATATCTTAAAATAATTTCTGACACATCTATTACCTTGAAGTATTTTTCTTTAAAAAAAAAACTTGGAGTGTTAAGTATTAAGTTGCTTGTTTTTATTAAGAAAAATTCTTTTAAGATACTAAATATATTAAAGGGTTAAGGTGCATCCAGCACCCCCAAGTATTTTGTCAGGTATACCCAGTGGCCTAAAGTAATTTATGGTGCAATTTTGCCATCAAAGTAATTAAAATGGTGCACCGATATCCCATGCTAACAGATCTGTTACTTTGACTGTTAAATTGATGAGTCAGCACAAGTTTGACCAAAATAATCTGACATGGCATGTCTAATAAGCAGGTGATGTGGAATTTTTTTCGGGGTTAAGGTGCATCCAACACCCCTAAGTATTTTTCCAGGTGCACCTATTGACTTAAAGTAATTCATAGTGCAATTTTGCCCTCAAAGTAATTAAAATGGTGCACCGGTATCCCATGCTAATAAATCTGTTAGTTTGACTGTGAAATTGATGAGTCAGCACAAGTTTGACCAAAATAATCTGACCTGGCATGTCTAATAAGCAGGTGACATGGCTTTTCTTGTTAATTTCATTGTTTTGTTTGAATATTAGTCCTCTGGTCCTATTTATAAGGCATTTCCAGCATGTTTCACACAGACCAAGGAAAACCTTAAATTTCATTAACTCTCATTTAAATTTTAATAACTTTTCAACTTTATCCCTATTTAATATACATTATACCTCATATAAACAAAGTCAACAAAATAATAAATGAGGGGTAAATTTGTACATCCATACAAAAAATTTTTCTCAGTGCCTTGTAAATAGGACAAAAAAATATCTTCTCTCTCTACCTTATAAATAGGACTAGAGGAGTATCTCTGAAAAAATTTCTTACTCTGAAAAAAATTCCAAGAGCCGAAGAGAGCATTTACTGAACAGAGAAAACAAAGCAGTGGCAGACGAAAAAAATTCCACATCACATGCTTATTAGACATGCCAGGTCAGATTATTTTAGTCAAACTTGTGCTGACTCATCAATTTAACGGTCAAAGTAACAGATCTGTTAGCATGGGATACCGGTGCACTATTTTAATTATTTTGAGGGCAAAATTGTACCATAAATTACTTTAGGCCACTGGGTGCACCTGGCAAAATACTTGGAAGTGCTGGATACATTTTAACCCTATATTAAAAATTAATTTAAACGTATTGGAAGCATGTTTTCACCGACACGTTGATCACACGCCATCATTATTGACCATTCAGGCGGCCGTCAACTTTGTTATTTCCACCCTATTTCCACTGTTTTCTTCATATCCCCTTCACACACTTTCCAATAAAAGTGGGAATAACCCAAAATCTGTATTTACTATTGCTAAAAAGAGAGAGAGCTGGATTTACCCCGAAATTAGGCTTTTTTGCATGCCCTTGTCTTTGGCCTTTTTTGTGTGTGTGTGATTATCCTTCGAATTTTTGAGGTACAAATTGTGTTTGATAAAATTCTACCTAAAATATTATTAGTTGATGGTGAAAAATAATTTCAATTTTAGATTTTAAAAGAGAGAATTATCTTTAAGAATCGAATTCACAATTTTTTTTAATTTCCGATAAGAATCTCTCAAATTAAATACCTATTGTTCTGCTTGTAAATTTGAGTTGCTTGAGTGGTATACAGTATTAATTTTCTTTTTAATTATAAATTCACGCTATGTGAATGATAGATATTCATAGTTTAATGGGAAAATAATTTGCACTGTGTGAAAGGTAATTTGAAGGCTTTTTTAATAATTCATTTGTCAATTTAATCCTTTAATATAATTTTCCTGGTCTAGAATTGTTCAATCCACACAAAAAGTTTTAAAGTAGAAAAATTTTAGGATTCACATACAACGGAATAACATTTCTTGCCCCAAAAAAAGGAGGAATTGGTTTTTTTAAAAAAATAACAGACACATAATATACTTTCAACGAGATCAAGGGTAATGTTAGGAAGATAGAATACCTTTAAAATATCAATTAATTTTAACTAATTTAGTTTGGAAAAATCACTAAAAAGGCCTTAAAAATTAAAAAAAAATTGTAAACAGGGACTCGCTACAACATTAGTATTAGTTTTGACAATAATTAATAAACAAATGACAACAATTCTGTGAATGAGTCTCTGCATGTAATTTTTTTAATTTTTAAGGTTTTTTTTTTGACAATTCCTTCATTTAGTTAATATGAAACATGACTTATAAATGGGGATGAAAGTAACCAATGAGCGTTAAATCTAATGAAAAGAAGTACAATCATTAATTCTAATAGTTTATAAAAAATTTTTTAATTATAATTTATGAAATATAAAGTAGTTATACGTAGAGAGTTTTATTCCAACTTATATGAGCATTTAAAATCAACAAATGTAGACAAGCCCATGGTTGGTTACCCAAAGATATAATATTGATTTTCTTTGGCATTTTTGGTTCTTTGAAGGGGATAGCCATGGTTAGAGAGATTAGATTGGGTAGAGGCAACAACTCAAGTTATCCAACAAATAACACTTTTGGGGTAAAAACAATAAAACATATGTGCCACATTTGGTAACGTAACGGTTCATTGTTTCGCAAGTTTCTCCAACATAGATTTAGTCAATATCATCATCCTCCTATGTTTTGAATAATAACACTCCTAGATTTGCATGGTTTACACACACACACACACACACTATGCTAATAACATCTCAGTTGTTTCATTATTTTCTTATCTACGATAGTAATAATTATGTCTTTGATAGTTTCTATGTTATTGCTGTATGGGCTCTAACTAATTCATTCGTTAAACTTGTCCTTTTGCCTGCTTTTTACACTTAGTTGACGTTAAACTTCATTATGTGGTCTCTGACCTTTATATTCATAACATAGCTTTTTCCTTTTCATATAATAAACTTGAACAATACGACATCCATCTTGGTGTAAATTAAACTTGACGAAAACACATTGACTTAGTGTTAACTAAACTAGATAAATATACAAAAAAAAATTCATCCGTAGTACTACCTCCTATCCTAATTATAAGAGCTAGTTGACTAATTTGAGGTGATTAAGAAAATAAGTTAAGTTAGTTATTTGTAATAAATATGTATTGTCTTTTCCAAAATATCCTTGGTAATCAAGTGTATTAGCTAGAACTACTATTATTAGAAGGACTATCTTTAAAAAAATACATAAATATGAGAGACAAAGTATATTGTGGTCTTATAATTAGGATCAAAATAAAAATTAAACGAGGTTTTATATTGAGGATCGGAGGTAATACTTCATACCTGTATATTATAATTACCTAATCCATGTGTTACTCGATATTAAAAAAAGGTTAAATTATTAATTAATAGTATTTGAATCTTCAACCATATGCAACTGGCATTTTTTAAATCTAAAAATTTGACAAGAAATTTTCTAAAATTTTAGTCTGTGCATATAATATCTTGTTTTAAATTATTACTTCATCCGATTTTATTGATGAAAACTATGTTTTTTTTAACAAAATTTAATAAAACATTTATTGTTCGTTTCTTAAAATTATATACTCCTCCGGTCCTTATTATAAGACTCAATTTGATTTTTTATTTGATCCTAATTATAAGACCCAATCCATTTTGTCTCTTATATTTATGCATTTTTTTCCAACATAATCCTTCTAATAATGATAGTTTTAGCCAATATACTTAATTAGCAAGGATATTTTAGGAATGACAACACTTATTTATTATAAATAACCAACTTAACTTACTTCCTTAATCTTCTCAAATAAGTCAATTGGGTCTTATAATTAGGACCGAAAGAGTATATATATTTATATATATAAGAGAATTGTCGTTTTATGAGGGCGAGACTCGCGAGAGGCAAGAAAATAAAACAAGCTGGAGCTAAACTTAGGTTGGCTACTCTCAATTGCTGTTGCTTTCGACAAGTTATGATAAAAAATTTTAATATATTTATTTTGTGTATTATAAAATTATTTTTAAAATTATGATTTGATTTCTATCCAAATATCTCTTTATTTATTATTATAAAACATTTTTGTCAATTTTTTTGTCAACGCATTTTTGTCAAATTTATACAAACTAATGTGATTAGTAATTAAAAGTCCCTAATATATTTTTAGCACATCAATATTAATTTTTATTAAATATAGTTCACTGGAATGAAGTAAATTAGTAAGGGTCAAGTAAAATTTTTTTTTAAAAAAAAGGGACAAAAATCCCTCATGAAAAAATTTATTGATAAAAAAGACTTTATAAATTGACCGGGGCTCCTCTGGTTCTGCTTGTACTAAGTGCTCATAAATCATATAAAAAAGACTCTATAAATTGACCGGGGCTCGGTTGGATCAGCTTGTAATAAGTACTTATAAATATTTTTACCTAACTCGAGACAAAATTTTGCCAATGCATTTTTGATCCAACCTAGCTTTTAAATTCTTCTCAACAATAAAATTTTTGATGGGGGGTTTCTTACCAATTTTTTCGTTTTTTATTTGTTAATGGCATAGTCAGAATGAATTCATTAATTATTTTTAAATTTTTTATTAGAATGTTTTACAAATTAAAACACAATCCTTAAAAAGCATGCTTTATAAATCATAAAGGGAGCATTAAGAAAACAAGGAGCTTGAGGATTTGCCTGAAGCAATTTAATTATTGGATGTAAATTGAAAGACGGAGGGCTGGGAAATTGACAAAGGAGGAAGAAAGGGGGAAAATGGAAATGGAGGGAGCTAAGGAACATGCAAGTAGCATTATACGCACAGATGCTGTTCATAAAATGGCATAGTAGTAAATACTCACTGGCTATTCACTACACAACCACCAGCAGAATCTTAGCTGGATGTCTTCTCTCTCTCTCTTACATCTTTTTCTCCCTCTGATTCAACCTTTTCACAGACTCTCTCTCTATCTCTTTCTTCTGTTCTCCCTGTGAGGCTGTGACTCTCTCTCCCTCACTTGCTCCTCCTTCATCACTGTGTCTGTGTGTGGGCGTCTCTCTCTCTTTCCATAGCAGAAGTCCCCACGCCAATCTTCAACCCATTACTGTGTCTTCCTTTCTCTCCTCTCTCCTCCCCTTCTCCCCCCTTCTTCTTCATTCCCAGAAAGAGAGAGACACGCATACACATCACAATGCGTCCCTTCTTCCCCATCTTCTTCTTCGTCTTTCTCATTTTGACCTGCCTGCCTCAGATTTTCTGTTCAAAAACCGTTCTTTCTTCAGGACGCAGGATCCTTCACGAGCCATTTCAGCCATTGGGTTCTGTTCCTCCTGCTCCGCCTCCTAGCCCTCCTCCTTCCCCTCCTGCATCGCCCAACGCTAAATATCCCTTTTCCACGACTACCCCTAATCAATCTGCGTTTTTTCCTACCTACCCTTCACCTCCTCCTCCTCCTTCTCCTGCTTCTTTTGCTTCCTTCCCTGCCAATATCTCCTCTCTTATACTCCCTCACGCATCCAAATCCAAATCCTCTTCCGGAAAACTGCTCGGAGTTGCCATCGGTGCTGTGGTCTGTGCTATTGTTGTCGCTGGCATTTCTGCTTTTGTGTACTGTCGGCGGAGGAGGAAGCGGTACGCTGCCGATGAGAAGACTCTCAGATCCGATAGTAGTCTCCGTCTGTTTCCGCCCAATGCTGAATCTGGTAATGGAGGTCGAAAGGTGAGGCACACTTCTTCAACTAGCTCTGAGTTTCTTTACCTTGGGACCATTGTTAATTCGAGGGCCGTTGAGGATCGTTCTGGTTCGCACGCAAACGATGCTGGTCGGGGTGGGCGTAGTGCAGGCGGCGGTGGAGGAAGTGGCGGTGGTGCTGCTGCTGTGGACCCTCGGAAAATGGACTCGCCGGAGCTTCGTCCACTTCCTCCGCTTGTGCGGCAAGGTTTGAGGCAACAATATGGAGCGGCGCGGGACGATGTGGGTTCTAATACGGCGGATGATGAGGAAGAGGAATTCTACTCGCCCAAAGGATCTCTGGGTGGTCACGAGAGTTCGAATGGCACGGGATCAGGTTCTCGCAGAGTGTATGCGGCGATTGCGAGTGAGAATTTTGTTGGTCGAAGCAGTGAATCGAGTTCTAGCTCGTATTCTTCTTCCACTTCGGGCTCACCGGATCGGTCACACTCGATTAGCCTATCACCGCCGGCAAGCTTGAGCCCCAAAAGATCGCAGCCAAAATCGCCGGAAACTACAGTGGTGGACAGCTCTCCTCTACTGCCATCATCCCCACCGCTACCACGGCCACCACCGCCTGCTCATTCCCGGACTGAAGCGCGCTTGGGCGAGGGATCTTTACGCTCACCGTCAGATAGAAGCCAATTTTCTTTATCTCCGGTTCACAATCAGCATGTTCAATCTTCTTCAATGTCTTCATTATCTTCAACACCAGAGAGGGCTTCTGGTCGAGATGGTAAGTCTCCTTTACTGTCTCCACTCTCGTTATCGCCAAATAGAGCTGCAGGGAAGAACCCAGATGGGGGAGCGAGAGTATCGGGCGTCGCATTTGAAAATGTGCATTCTTCTTCCTCCTCATCTCCTATTTCTTTGTCGCCTGAGAGATGTGTTGAGAAAAAATCAGATGCACCAGAGAAACAAGATGAGAAATTTTCTTATTCGTTGTCAGGATTTCCTGCTGGGAAAATTTCTTGCGCATCACCAAGATTATCCACTACCTCACCTGAAAGGAATGTGGAGAAAATTTCAATGGCATCTCCGCAGAGAAATTCTGAGAAAATTTCCCTTGAGTCTCCAAGATTATCCACGGCATCGTGCGAGGGAGGTGCGGAGGCAGTATCAAGCGCACCATCAAGGTTATCCAATGCATCACCGGGGAGAAATGCGGAGAAAATCTTATGTGTGTCACCTAGATTATCCAATGCTTCGAATCAAAGTGAGAAGTCTCTGTCGTCTTCTTCAGCTTTCTCTCTGCCATCATCACCTGAGAAAGTGGTTGAGCATGGTTTGGATCACTCTCCAAGTCTTTCAAATGTTTCAGATCGTTATAGGCAATCTCCGATGCCAACCCTGCTTTCATCGCCAGAAAGAGAATCGTACAACACTTCGGATCGTTCTGCTACAGTTGAAAATGCTGTGGATCAAACAAGAGTTTCTCCAGCTCCTGCTCCTCCTCCGCCTCTTCAACCACAGCGAAAACACTGGGAGATTCCTATCCTCTCAACAATTTTTCGTCAACCAGCAAGAGTAGATAAAGTTTTGGATCAAAATGCGGAATCTCCTGCTCCTCCTCCACCACCACAGCGGAAACACTGGGAGATTCCACTTTTCTCAACAGCCATTGGTCAGCCTAGAGTTTCTCCCCCTCCCCCTCCACCACCACCGCCTCCTCCTCCACCTCCACCACCCCACCAAAGAACACGAAAGCAATGGGAAATTCCGTCTCCTTCAACTCCCACTGATCAGTCAGTTTCTAGGCCGGCAGCTTTAGTACAACCTTCAAGGCCTTTTGTGTTGCCAAATCCAACAACAGATGTGTCTCCGGTTGAGTTGCCTCCAAATTCTCAACAAAAGAATTTGGGGACAAATGAGGATACTCCAAAACCAAAGTTGAAGCCGTTGCATTGGGATAAAGTGAGAGCTAGCTCTGATCGTGAAATGGTCTGGGATCAGTTGAGGTCAAGCTCTTTTAAGTAAGATACTCAACATTGACTATGTTCTTTGATTCTTTTGTTTTAGCTTTCTGTCTTTCCTTGGATTGAGTGCATTGAATTGGTTTGCTGCAGATTAAACGAGGAAATGATTGAGACATTGTTTGTTGTGAATACACCACATCCAAAACCAAAGGATACTACACCGCGTTCAGTTCTTCCTACACCAAAACAGGAGGACAGAGTACTTGATCCTAAAAAGTCGCAAAATATTGCAATTTTACTGAGGGCACTTAACGTGACTGTTGAAGAAGTCTGTGAAGCATTATTAGAAGGTATTTTCCATATAATGTATTAAGCTTAATTTGTGACGTTGATTCCTGTATTTCATTCCTGGCACTTGCAGATAATGCATTTTAGTCTTTGGCCCTCTGCAAAGTGCTGCCATATGCCAATTTAGTATTTCTTTGGCTTTTTGGTTTCTAAAATGGGTTTCAAGGCTTATCAACTTGTAGGGACGTTTCTTTTTGTGTTGTTACCCCTTGTTGCCAGACGGATCTTGCCATTATTTTTATTATAATTTTTGTGTGTGTGGCAAGTAACATAAATGTATCCTAAGGGGGTGGGGAATTTGGGAAGATAATGGTAATGTAGGCATTTACTTGACAATCATGTGGGTTATGCTCATTAATTCCCCTCTCCCCTTCTCTTGTTGGTTACAGTTTAATTCAGTTATAGTGTTTTAACTTTTAGTGATAGCTTGGGGAGGGGGTTTGTGTGTCATGTTTCAAATTTTGTATGCTAAATTTTTTAATTAGGCTATGGTGGCATTTTTCTCTAATGGTTGCATAAGGATGTTCGATTGTATCTGAATAGAATCTGAACATGCAACCACAAAAATCTACCTTTCTGCAGGTAGTGCTGATACACTGGGTACAGAACTACTCGAAAGCTTGTTAAAGATGGCACCAAGCAAGGAGGAAGAACGTAAACTGAAGGAACATAAAGAGGACTCACCAATCAAGCTTGGTCCTGCTGAGAAATTCTTGAAGGCTGTGCTTGGTGTACCATTTGCGTTTAAAAGGGTGGAAGCCATGCTTTACATAGCTAATTTTGAGTCTGAAGTGGAGTATCTCAGGAAGTCGTTTGAAACTCTAGAGGTAATTGTTCTCTCCCACTTTTCCTTTTCAATGTGCTGTGTCCCTCTTCTTTGCATCACATCTTTTGGTGTCAAAGTGAAATTGTAGACTTAGTCAGCCTTCTTAAAAGCTTAATATATTCTTACAGGTTAGATTGTCATTCAACATGAAATGTGGTTAGAATATTATCTCACACTTAATATGAGGTTATGTTTCCTTGGTCACCAGAAAAAAAAAAGGTTGCAGTAAGTGCAGTGAATAATAGATTGTTCTTTGATAGAGACAAGATCTAAACATGCCCTGCAACCTTGTGTGCATCTTTCACCTTTTTTAAACCCTCAAAGTTAGTGGAATCAAAATGTAATTTTATTGATGGAAAATTAGTCTTTATCTTTACTCCTTATTTATAAAAAAAAATTAGAAAGGATTCAAGGCCTTGACAACGACATAATGGACATTGTAAAATTATAAGAAGTGGAATTCCTTTCACAAGCAGAGACATGTGTGCCTGTGTGCACGCACATATAAAATGCGCCATGAGATTCTAGCTTGACGCCTCCCTAGCTTCTTGCCTGTACTTTACATATGTTGCTGCTTATCCGTGTATTCCCAAAATAGGCCACTCAGATTTCAATAATCATAGTCTCCTTTTACCCCACATGATTCCCTCATGTAAGACAACAGAAGAAATTTAGTTTTCCTCTGACATCCAATTGCAGGTTGCCTGTGAGGAGCTACGCAACAGTAGAATGTTCTTGAAGCTTCTAGAGGCTGTGCTCAAAACTGGGAACCGCATGAATGTAGGGACAAACCGCGGTGATGCACGTGCCTTCAAGCTCGATACACTTCTCAAGCTTGTTGATGTTAAAGGTGCCGATGGGAAGACAACCCTACTGCACTTCGTTGTACAGGAAATTATAAGAACTGAAGGTGCTCGTCTCTCAAGTACTTCCCAAACTCCAAACTCCTCTTCAAGTGAAGATGCCAAGTGCAGGAGGCTTGGTCTACAAGTTGTTTCCAGTCTGAGCTCAGAGCTAGCAAACGTAAAGAAGGCTGCTGCAATGGATTCTGAGGTTCTCAATGGCGATGTCTCCAAACTTTCTAAAGGAATTTCTTACATAACAGAGGTGGTGAGACTAAACGAGGCAACACGGCAAGATGAAAGTGGTAAAAAATTTACAGAATCAATGAACAAATTCATGAGGATGGCCGAGGTGGAGATCCTGAGGATTCAAGCCCATGAAAGTGTTGCTCTTTCTTTAGTGAAGGAGATTACTGAGTATTTCCATGGTAACTTAGCAAAGGAAGAAGCTCATCCATTCAGAATCTTCATGGTGGTGAGAGACTTCTTATCGGTTCTCGACCGAGTCTGCAAAGAAGTTGGTTTAATAAACGAGAGGACCATGGTTAGTTCTGCCCATAGATTCCCAGTCCCAGTAAACCCCATGCTTCCACAACCCCTAAACCCTATGCTTCCACAACCCCTACCTGGATTATTTGGAAAGAGACAATACAGCTCTTCGGATGATGATAGTCCCTCTCCATAGCCTCCAAGGCTTTTGTCTCTGTGATTCATGGCTGCATCTTTTGTAGAAACAACCTGGTACCAGGTGTTTTTGACTGGTGGGAGCACGTATGGTCTGCTCAAAATGATGTAACCATTTTGGGTTCTCTCCGTTTAAAAATTGTAAAAATCCATGTAAAAGATTTGAGTTATATGTGATATATATAGATTATATGTAGACTAGAAGCTGTTCTTTTTTTCCTGAAGAATAAGTTTGCCATACTATATGAATAGGAGGTGCATTGTAAGGTTTTTATAACCATATGTATAAAGCTATTCAATTAGAGGGACATCCATTGGACTTATCAATTATTTCGTGTTTGGGAAGCCTGTGAATACAAAGTGAAGGAGATGAGCATGTGAGACCATCTCATGGATGGCCAGTTTAGGAAGGGAAACAGGATGATGAAGTATGCTTGATCGTTTCTTCAGCCAGCAGACGGATCTGTATTTCTTGTGGTAAAAATGGACCTGTACATTTTATGCGAGTAGTTTTATGCATATATTTTCATTCAATTATATTTTCATTTTGAATGGAATAGGAGAGAGAAAAAAAAGTTATTAACATTAAATAAATGATATTTTGCTTTAAAATTTAGAAAATAAATTTTGAAAGTTTAATTCACGGGAAATGATTTATATTTTCAGGGTTTCTATTACTGTTCTTGGAGGAATTAAAAAATGGGATTTGCAACTAATTTGTCTCCTAAAGTAAGAGTGAGTTATGTGACCGGTTTGGATGTTAAAATCATTTTAAGGGTTATAGACAAATGAAGTATCCCCTTGACCCAATTTGTGTGTGTTCGAATTCACCTGGTTACCATATGAAACCCGTAATGTTACGTTTAAAAAAGTTTTAAAGGAGGATTTTAGCGTCGGTTGGATTACAAATAATAAATTATCTCATTATCCGTTAGTTCTGCTTGACAAATATTGAGACTAGACTTGCCCCATTTAGCTCTAATTTTAAATTTGTCTGCCTAGAAATTGTGTTCAAAATTGATGGCTCTTGCAGATAGAAGAGGAAAACGAGACATATCCAAGTATAAACAAAAATAGAAAAATAATTATTAATTATTAATACTCCGAAGCATTCACTAATTACACAGCTTACTATGTTTAAAATTTAAAATAAAATAAAGAAAAGGGGAAGAAGATGTCATCGATTGACAGGCTCGATAGATGTTACACATATGTTCCTAGTGACTATTAAGTAATTTTTATTTTTCTTTACGGAAACTCCTTTTTTTTTTCCCCAAAAAAAAAATCATTTCATCTTTATAAAAAGAAATTTTTATAAATATGTCTATTGACAATATAAATGTCTATTTGTAAGTAGATTTATTTCATTCATAAAGTTGAACAAAACAGTTGATAACTAAGGGAGTGACAGCTCAAAAGTAAAATTAGGATATTTGCAGCACGGATACACCTATTAACAATATAGATAGTTAGATACATCCATTTGCAAGTGGATTAATTTGTTCTGCATTTACATAGTTGTCAGCCAATTTCAGTGTAGTACTTCATCTATCATTTTGCTTTCTAAGGTCTTCACATATTCGCTTCCCACATAGAAGATGCAAAATAATTGCTTTCTACTACCGCTAGCCATATATAATATGTTATCGCACATCATTCAAGTATTAACTTCAATCAATTCTCAATAATTAAACACAGTATGCGAATTTACAACAAAAATATGAGTTTTCACAACACCAAATCATCATTTTTCTAGAGAAGTGGAATTTGTAAATTTATAATATAATTCATGATAGGAAATGAAAGGTTTATTTTCAACACTCAACGGTGTGAATCTAAAATCACCCCACAGTATAATTTTATCTCAAATCTGAGTAATAAAAAAATTTCTTGCTGATTTAGAGCTCCATGATAGCCCAAGCCAAACCCATAAAATCTACAATAGAAGAAATGGAGAAGGATTTACAGTATTATATCCAGAAATTTTTGAATGGAAAGGCAGTGAAGGAGGTCACTTATAGAGAGAGAGAGGGAGGGAGACTATGACGATAATGAAGGCTCTTGTTACCAAAACAGCACCGATGGTGAAGGTACTCCATACTAGAATAGTAGTGACAGTGAAAGCTCTCTTTACCGAAATGATGGCGGCGGTGAATGATCTCTCTAAACCCAATAATAGATTTTTCAGAGAGTGAGAGAGAGAAGAGTTGGAGCTATCGAATGTTTTCAGAGAGAGGGGGAAGAGCTTCAGTGTCACGGAGTTTAGGGGGATAAAAATGTCTTTTTCTTTTCTAAATTAATTTCAGTTTGCTCATTTGGTCTTGCAGTGATTAGGGGTGTTCATGAAGCCGAGTTGCATGCTATACCCGTCCAAACCCGCAAAAAAAACCCAGCCTGTCCTAAAAAAAAAATGGCCCAAAAGAACTATTGGGTATATTCAGGTTGGGCAAATTGTTGGGCAGGCATCGAGCACGGTATGTTGCCTTGCCCATTTGGCCCTACCCGCCAAAATATATATAATTTTATTTATATATATTTTATTTGCCCGATATTTATTTTCTAATCAAACGTACTGTTGCATTAATATTTAGTGTTTATTATACTTATTTATTTTTGAATGATTTTGAGAGTTAGAAACTAGAAAAACAATTAAGTTTAATAAAATATACAAACAACATTTTTTTGTCATAGTCCACTCCTCCTAGCTACTATAAAAAGTAGTTTCATAGTATACTAATTAGTAATAATAAAATTAAGGCCAAGTTGTCATTTTAATATAAAGTTACATTAGATTATTAAGAGGGACATAAATAATTAGTTAATTAATATAGTATATTGACTTATTGGGCATGAAAGCCTGTCCTGCCCAGCCGGTATTTGCCCAATCTGAACTTAATAGGGCTTTTCATGGGTAGGGCCGGGCAACGGGCGGTATTTTCCAGCCTGTTTATTCTTCAGGCTGGGTATCGGACAAGGGTCCTGTCCTATCCAGCCCTGTCTATGTGCAGCCCTAGCAGTAATATTTCAAAATGTTTTGGGGACTATTTGAAATAAATTGTCTACTGCTATCCTTAACTGAAATTTTTCCTTTTTCTTTTTTCCTTTCTTATTTTGATTAGGCCGCTCCTGTTGATCTACAACCCTTCTCTTCAAGCCACTTTGATAACCCTCCCTCACCTCCTTTCCTTTCATCTATCTCGCCAATATTGTCGAAACCCCAGTCTCTTGCCATCTCCAGCCTACGCTTGTAAAATCCAATCCTTTTTGTAAAACGAATCCCCAGGCAAACCGGGACTCCCAGATTTCCACTCACAGGCAGGTTTATTGCAGTGTTCGTCTCTTACCTTGGGATCTTTACATTTCAGGCCGTCCATCCCTTGCTCATACGCATTCCATGTCTAGTCTCCAACTCCTCATATCAACTCCTTCTGCATCCCTCTTACCCTTCTTTGTTCTGTGAGGTTAGATTCTGTTTTAAAAAAAAATTGATGTGTTCTGCTGATAAAACTCATCCTTACTGCTTTTGCCTGATCACAAAAACGTAACACATGAATTCTTGTCTCCAACTTCCCACTTATAATTCATCCCTCTAGGCCCGCATTGTTCATTCCTCAAAGCACTCCTATTTAAACGGTCTTGCCCTATTAGCCACATAAAATGCCTGATTCGTTCTGAACCCTGCCACTTCCAAATCGTCCCCCATAAATCACTATTCTGCCATAATTTTACCCCTCTTGTGGCCCTATATCCACTTCTGACGGTGTATTGCCCATCCTGCCAACCCTCCAAAGCAATCTATCAGTCGTTGAGCATGACTTTTTTTTTTTTTAACGGAAAAAAAATACAGAGATCATATTTAAAAAAAAAAAAAAACTAAAGAGACAGAGAACAATCATTTTTCTTTCAGAGAGCCCCCGTGAAGTAGGGAGTGGAAGTGAAATTTTCATTTATTCATGAGGTACTTCAGTTCAATACAAAATTGACTGTAACAATTGATTCCAGTCAATAATCCCTTGCTAATCCGATTTTATGATAAGAAAAATGTAAACCCGAATGCCTAATGATATCCATAAATCGAAGTACAACGTTGAGAAGTGTGGCTTTAAAAGCAATGATTGACTAACTACAATTTCCTTATGAAGTCATCAACGTGGCGCTGCCAATGATGGGCACGAACGTGTAAGCTAGGTACGTCTTTCTCCTCCATAATGAAGGTGCAAATATCATCTTTGATTAATCCTCTTTCGCGTACAAAGTCACTCCAGAACTGGTTAAAGTATATCATCTTCTGGTTTTCGGAACGCTCTTCGTTCGACGAGATTTCAAACTCTGTTTCACGTGCTTCAGCCCCATCCACATCTGAATAAATCAACCGGATCATAGGCTGATCTGGGATTTGATTTGGCCACATGTGTTTGCAGAATGATTTGGCAATTGGCTGCTGAGAGGCAAAAAACAAACTTGTAATATATAAAATATTGGAGATGAATATTATTTATATATTCTGGAATGAGATGAGTACATCTATATATATAAGAAAAAGGAATAATAAATCCTAATAATAAATCAAGAGATGAATACAAATCAAATAAATCAAATTATATCAACAAAATATTAACAAGATATCTTAACATCCCCCCACAAGCTCAAGATGGTTTGAGAGAAAGTAGCTTGAGTTTGTTCACTAAAAACTAGAAGCGACCAGGATTAAAAGATTTGGTAAACAAATCGGCCGGTTGGTGCTTCACGCAAATGGGAACAAGTCTGATGGTACCTCGAATAATATATTGCCGAGTGAAATGACAGTCAATCTCAATATATTTTGTGCATTCATGAAACACATCATTGTGAGCAATTTTAATAGCTGCTTGACCATCACAATATATATTAGTGGAGGATGTCTAGGAGGCTCTCAAATCATCAAGCAGCCAACAAAGCCAAAGAACCTCAGCAGTAGTATCTGCTACTGCGTGGTATTCTGACTCAGCACTAGATCAAGAGGATAGAGTTTGTTTCTTACTTCTCCAAGAGATAAGAGAGTCTCCAAGAAATATATAAAACCCAGTAGTAGATCGACGATCGGCATGGTCACCTCCCCAATCAACGTTAGAGTAGGCTCGTAAAATGAGAGAAGACCTAGCAGAGAAATGAAGGCCATGATACAAGGTTCCCTTAACATATCGAAGAATCCAGAGAATGGCTGCATAATGAGTGGTTCGGGGCTCAGACATGAACTGATTAACAATGTGAACTGCATAGGCAATGTTTGGATGAGTCACAGTAAGATAGATGAGTCCTCCAACCAATTGCAGGTAGCGTGTTGGGTTCTCCAACACAGTCCCATCAATAGGAACAAAATGAGCATTAGACTCAATGGGAGTGTTTTCAACAGCTTTATCAGTGAGTAAGGCCCTAGATATCAAATCATAGGCATACTTGACCTATGAAAGAGAGATACCACTCTCCCCATAATGTACCTCAGGATGAAGAAAATAATTCAGTCTTCCAAGATCTTTCATCTCAAATTGTCCTCCTAA